TCTCACTGTTGTGGCCTCTCCCATTGCGGAGCACAGGCTCTGGACGTGCAGGCTCAGCAGCCATGGCTCACGGGCCCAGCCGCTCCGCGGCATGTGGGATCCTCCCGGACCGGGGCACGAACCCGCGTCCCTTGCATCGGCAGGCGGACTCCCAACCGCTGCACCACCAGGGAAGCCCTGTTCTTAGTTTTTAAAGGAACCTCCATACTGTTCTCCATAGTGCCTGTACCAATTTACATTCCCACCAGCAGTGTAGGAGGGTTCCCTTTTCTCCACACCCTCTCCAGCATTTGTTATTTGTAGACTTTTTGATGATGGCCATTCTGACCTGTGTGAGGTGGTACCTCACTGTAGTTTTGATTTGCATTTCTCTAATAATTAGCATTGTTGAGCATCTTTTCATGTGCCTGTTGGCCCTCTGTGTGTCTTCTTTCCCCTTGTTGTTTTTAAACGGCTTTGAGATACAACTTACGTGGCATACAACTCACCCCTCTCAAGTGTACAGTTCAGTGCTTTTTAGTATGTTCACAGGGTTGTGCAACCATCACCACCATCAATTTTACAACTTTTTCATCGCCTTCAAAAGAAACTTGTACTTATTACCAGTCACTCCCCATTCCCCTCTTGTTTCCCTCCTAGCCCCTGGCAACCACAAATTCTTCTGTCTCTCTGGATGTGCCTGTTCTGGGCACTTCATATAAGTGGAATCATACAGTATATGCTTCTTTGTAGCTGGCTTCTTTCACTCGACGTGGTGTTTTGTTTTGTTTTTAATTTATATTTCTGGCCGTGTTGGGTCTTGGTTGCTGCACTCGGGCTTTCTCTAGCTGCGGCGAGCGGGGGCTGCTCTTCGTTGTGGTGCACGGGCTTCTCATTGCGGTGGCTTTTCTTGTTGTGGAGCACGGGCTCTAGGCGCGCAGGCTTCAGTAGTTGTGGCGTGCAGGCTCAGTAGTTGTGGATCGCGGGCTCTAGAGCGCAGGCTCAGTAGTTGCGCACGGGCTTAGATGCTTCAGGGCATGTGGGATCTTCCCGGACCAGGGCTCAAACCCATGTCCCCTGCATTGGCAGGCATATTCTTAACCAGTGCGCCACCAGGGAAGTCCCACTCACTGTGGTGTTTCTGAGGATCGTCCGTGTGGTACACGTGTCAGGACCGTGTCCCTTTTCATGGCTGCATGATATTCCACTGTTTGGAGAGTCCATAGCTTGTTTTTCCTTTCTTCAGCTGGTGGACGTTTGGACTGTTTCCACTTACCCACCACATGCTCCTCTGCCCTGCATCCCATCACTTAGTGAATAGTGACCTTGCTATTGGCCAGTCACCATCCTAGATGCTGTCCCAGCAGGGCAGCCCTGCCCTCAGAAGCTTTATTTCCCAGCATAAGACCAAGAGAAACACAACCCAGGAGGCTTAGGAGAAAGAGGAAGAAGGGCAGGGCTCCGTCCTGCAGCCACCAAGCAGCCTTTCCCCCATGTCCGGGTTCCGGAGTATAGGAGGGGGGAACGTTGATCCTGAGTTCCACTGCTTGTTGGTTGAGTGTGTGTGTGTGTGTGAGCTTGCCCCAGGCTGGACGCCACACAGGACCTGAGTGTGGAGAGCTGGGGTTGGGTGCAGGGAGGCCTCGTGGCTGCAAGTGGGGCCAAGGGATGGATGATTGAGTAACCGCTGGAGTGCCCTTCACCCATGGGCCAGGCTCTGTGCTGGGAATGAGGGAGGCAGGTGTGTCTGACACCCCATACCTGACACATGCTGAACCAGCAAACCCAGATGTGCTCACATGGGGGGGCGTGAGAGCAGAACTCGGCCAGCTGGGGAGGAGGGCTTTCCTAAAGGATGAGTAGAAGCTGGCTGGACCAGGAGACATCGCAGGCAGAGCACACAGCACGGGCAAAGGCCCTGAGGCAGCAAAGAGGGACAGTGGTGGGCTGAGCTCGGTGGGCGAGGGGAGCAGGGCTCTCGAGCCTGGGGAGCGGGCAGGCATGGACGGTCATCCTGTTGGCTTTGATCAGAAGTGAGTAAATGGATGTGGTGGTGGGAACCCTGCCCCGGGAGCCTGGGAAAATCCCAGAACCCATAGGGCACATCCAGATACAGCAGCACCTCTCACCCCTGGCTGCTCATCAGGGTCTCCTGGGCTGCTGATAAAACACCGCTGCCCAGGACCTGCCCCAGGTAAATAAAGTCCACATCACAGGTGGGCTCCTGGCATTGGCTACATGTATTTTATATTCTTAAAAAATTGACCATGTGATACAGTATGTAGGAAGTATATAAATCATAAGTATGTGTACTCGCGTGAAACCGTCACCCCAGTGGGGATACAGAACATCGTCAGCACCCCTGGAATGCTCCCTCAATAGCACCAACCCACCCCACTATTCTGCCCTCTGTCACCACAAATGGTAACTCTCAACTGAGGGTGATTTTGCCCCCTAGGGGACATTTGGCAATGTCTGCAGACATTTTTGATTGTCACAACTGGCGGGGGGGGGATGCTCCTGGCATCTAGTGGGTCAAAGCCAGGGGATGTGGTCCACATCCCACCACGCACAGGACAGTCCCCAGGCATCAGCAATGCTGCGGTTGAGAACCCCGTCCTGGCTTGTTTGGCTTATAACTTGAACTTCACGTACATGGAAACCTTCTCTGGCGTCTTTTGCTTCATGTTACGGCTGAGGGGCTCTCTGTGTTGAGGTGTGCAGTTGTGTTCACCCCTTTTCAGTGCCGGGTAATATTCTACACATGAATATCTGACGACTTACTTGTACCTTCTGCTCTTGGTGGGCATTTGGGTTGTTACCCACGTTTTGGGACACTGAGACTTTTTTTTTTGTATTTTAAAAAATATTTATTTTATTTATTTATTTTTGGCTGTGTCGGGTCTTAGTTGCGAGGCTCGGGATCTTTGTTGTGGCCCACGGGCTTAGTTGCCCTGCAGCATGTGGGATCTTAGTTCCCTGACCAGGGATTGAACCCAGGTCCCCTGCATTGGAAGGTGGATTCTTTCCCACTGGACCACCAGGGAAGTCCCAAGACACTGAGACTTTTTAGATGGCGCCAGGTGATTCTAGCGCCCAGCTGGCTCGACTCCCGTTGACCGTGCTGCTCCCTTGCAGTGTCATGAAGCTGCCGTGTCCATCTACTGCAGCATGCGCCACCAGAGCCTCGGGCACTGGGCCCTCGTCTCCGTGCTGTCCTTGCTGGCCTGCTGCCTTGTCTACTCGCTGACAGGTAAGGCCCACGCGGGGTGCCCGGGACCTGGGTGCGGAGCAGTGGGAGAAACCGGAATAATCACAAGTGTGCATAGAGACCCTACCGCGTCCTGGGTGCAGTGCTAAGTGGTTTGACTGCCTGTGCTTCTTTGGTTCCTAACACCCCCAGGAGAGTCCACAGTTTATAGCGGAGGCCACTGAGGCTCAGAGGGTTGCCATGGCTTGTCCAGGGTCTCCCAACTAGATGTGGCAAAGCTGAGATGCAAACCCTGGCCCGTCTGTCTCTTAAGCCCCTGCTCTTCACTCCCCACGCCCCTGCCTGCCCGTCTCGTGGGATGGCGTCAGTGATGGCTGTCGGAGCATTATATCCAGGCAGTGGTTTACAGAACGCTCTCTTGGATGCAGTGGGTTTCAGCATCCACACACTGGCACAGGAGGGTTTTCAAAGGTGACAGAAGTGTGGCTCAGAGAGGGGCTGTGCCACCCCCGAGGTCCCACGGCACGTCCGGTGCACAGCCCAGGGCCCGGGCTCAGGCTGACTACTGGCCGCTTTTCTCCAGCCCAGCAGCCCTTTCTTTCGTCAGCCTATCAGAGTCTCTGATTCAGGGAGCTCTTGGGCTCCCACAGATGTGTCAGGGGACTTGGACTCTTGCTGGGTGACTTCTGTCTAGCAGGGGTGGTCTCTCTCATTCTGTGGCCCCTGAGTTGGACACTGTGATTGAGAGTCTCCTTCAGATGGTCCAGGGCCAGCAGGATCCTGGGACTGGAGAAACACCAAAGCAAACCACAGCTCTTGGTCAGCGATGGATGTCTCAGGACCGGGCAGGTGACGCGGAGGCCAAGAGGCAGTGCTGGGTTGTGGGGTAGGGACCTGACTTCCGCTGTAACGAGCTGTGTTATTCCAGACAGTTGTTGACACCTTGGGTCTTGATTTTCCCCATCAGGGAAACGGGCGCACGGACAGGTTCTTTCTCTAGGTGCTCTAAGGGTGGGGTGGACAGGGCCCGGAAAGCATTGTTCAGACTGCTTCCAGTCAGTCCACACCCACGAGTGGGTGCCTTGTACGGGTGCCGTGAGCTGTTTGGAGGAAGGACAAGGGACAGTTCTGCCCAGCAGGAGTTTGAGTCAGAAGGACCAGGATCCTGTAGGCTGAGGACAGGAAAGCCTTGGGAGATTCTAGAACTTTCTGTCAGCTCCTAGGGGAAATCTTAGCAGCGGTAGATCCGGGTGCTGTCTGCGTGTCGGAGTTGAGGTGGGGGGACAGCATTTTTCTAATCAGCTCTCCTGTGTTCCCCCCTTTACCCTTCACAGGCGTGTACGGCTTCCTGACCTTCGGGACAGACGTTTCTGCTGACATCCTGATGTCCTACCCAGGCAACGATGGGCTCATCATCGTTGCCCGGGTCCTCTTCACTGTGTCCATCGTGACTGTCTACCCCATCGTGCTCTTCCTGGGGAGGTGAGGCCAGCTCTTCCTGGGGAGGTGGTTCAGTGCAGAGCACAGCACCCGTCGGAAATTAGCACGTGCCAGGCGCCACACCAGCCCATGTGGCGTGGGGACTGTCTTCACCTCTGTTTCCTAGAGGAGGAGACGGGCAGGGGAATCAGGTGGTTTGGCCAGCATCGCCCAGCTGGTGTCAGGACTGGAGCCTGGCCCCCGGAGCTTGGCGGCCCAATGTGGCCCTGCCCTGTCGGCTACCCATGTGCGGTGGGGGTTCCCAGGGAGTGAGCCCTCCTGGTGTGCAGGGCAGTGGTGGGGGGCGCTCTGGGGCACCCAGTGGTGGGCGAGTGCAAGGCTACAGCCCCCGGGAGCCCGTGGGAGCCCATAGTGCGTGGCCTCCAGGTCAGTGATGCAGGATTTGTGGAGGAGGGGCTGCTGCTGGGCGTGTGGGCCCCAGCCCCTGGCCGAGCCCTCGGGGCCATGGGTCCGGATGTCGCTGACCGTCCTGTGGGTCACCGTGACGCTCACCATGGCCCTGTTCCTGCCCGACCTCAGCGAGATCATCGGCATCATCGGGGGCGTCAGCTCCTCCTTCATCTTCATCTTCCCAGGTGAGGGCCATGTGTGTGGGGTGGGAGCCCGCGGAGGAGGGATGGCTCCCAGCCCTGTTTACTGGGCCAGGCGTGGGGGCGGGGCTTCGCACACCTTCCCTCATTTAACATCTCAATGGGCGTGCTGTTATCAACCCAGCCTACAGATGGGAAGACCGAGGCCCTGAGGCCTCCTGGGTGGAATAGCTAGCATGTAGTGGGGCTGAGTCAGCCTCACAGCCTTGTCTACTCTCCCGCTGCTGCCACTCACTGTAGGATTTCATTTAATATTTTCAATGATATGACACTCCTACGGTTGAAAGGTGCCCCACAAACATCTTCCTCCTTGTCCCCCAGTCTGGGAGGCAAACACAGTTTCCATGATGGATGGATTCCTAGGAAACCTTCCCAGTGTTAGTGATGATGTGAAATTCCAGCCAAATTGGCCTGAGGGTTATCCCGGCCTGGCAGACCCAGGGTGGCCAAGGCTAGGGGCTCCCGGAGAAGGGGAAGCACTGAAGGGGCAGAAACCCCAGATACTGCGGCCCCTGGCCCTGGGAAGCGCTCTCAGACATGAGTGGCGGGGGGCGAGCGCCTCACCACCTCCCTTGGCTTCCCGCCCCCGCCGGCCAACCACCGTCTAGGGGGGATGGACCAGTGATGCTGTGTCTTGAACACACAGTATGGGTTGGGTGTCCATGTCCTGGGTGGGGCCTTGTAGCTCTAGCTGTTTCCCGTGCTGGAAAGGATGGGCCAGGATAGGCTTGGCAGCGGAGAGATCCACAGGATCTTGAGGCAGAGCTGTCTGGCTTCAAATCTCAGTAGCACGATTAAAAAAGAAATAAAAAAAAATGACAGAAAGAAAAAAATAACAAAGGCAGCTGGCAGTTGTCAAAGGCGTCCCAGGGGTGAGGCCCCGAGTCTGGTTCTGACCCACTACATCTCATCAGAGACGTGAGTGTGTGCTGTCGTTGTCGCTGGAGAGGCCAAGGTGTTACGGGGTGTCGAGCGGGGACCCCATAGTGGCGCCATTAGCCACCATTCGGTGCCCGCTCTCCAGGGGCAGGGTGAGCCTGCGGGGCCACTTTGGGCAAAGGCCCTGCTGGCCTCTCGGGTCCCTGGAGACTGCTGGGTGTTGGCTGAGCCCTTGCGAGCTCGGGGCTGCTTTGGGTTCAATAACGAAGAGCTGGTGTGACCCCGTGTCTCCTCCGAAGGTCTGTGCCTCATTTGTGCCATCAGCGTGGAGCCCGTAGGACCCCGAGTTAAGTAAGTGTGTGCACGTGAGGGTGTCAACTCTAGCGTGTGCGGGGCTCAGCGGGAGGGGCGTGTGAAGGCTGCTCGCCCGCCGGGTCCTGCTTGTGAGGGTACTGCAGGCCAGGCCGGGAGGGGGGCCTTGTCCACATAGTGGGGGGGGGGGGGGCGGCTGGGCCGGGGCGCTTTCC